CAGCAGCCTCTCTCACATCATCAAGAACTCGAATAAGTGCAGTCTCAGTAGAGTATCCACGTCTATAGGCATTCTGAAAAGGATCTAGTAAGTTTCTTTCCTCGAGATAGTCAAGCATCTGATGTGCAGCAATACGTTCGAGAGCCTTGGAGAGCACACAAAGCAGCGAAATTGGTCTATAATGTTGTAATTCAGTAGGAGCTCTTATTTTAGGTATTGGATTGACTATTGCAGATTTCCAGACAGTCGGAAAGACTCCACTGTTGAAGCTATAATTAAAGATATGTGACAGAATGGGCAGAATGCAAGGTAAGGCTGTCACAATGAGTTTACGTGATATTCCATCTTCACCAACGGAATCAGAACCAATAGTTGATATTGCAGTTCTCACTTTGGCTTCAACTATATTCGACCAGTAGAACTTCGATTCGTCATATATAGGCTCTCCAATAAATACATTAGATACATTGATGTGGCAAGATCCACCAGAATGATTACCACATAAGAAGCCATTGATGTCATCAGCCGTGAAAGGAAGTTTGTTTGTACAATTTTTGGACTTGATAAGACCAAGCTGCCGAAGCTTCATCCAAGTAAAAGCAGGCTTCCTATTATCTCCAAATATTGACAAGTAATATTCTTGTTTAGCTTTACGAACCATGTCCTGTACTTGATTCCTTAAAACTCTAAAAGCTTCATAGTTAGTGTCGGACTTGTATCTTCTCCATAATCTACGACTTCTGTCCCTTTCAAGGGAAAGAGAGAGGGAAAGAGAGAGAGAAAGAGAGGAAGAGAGAGAGAGAGAGAAGGCAACGACACGACGACGTATATCGCGCCGTCAAAATCGCGTTATATTGTTAGTCGCGTACGAGCGAATCCTCCTGCTGCTTGCGCCACCCTCTCCCATACTCTCGCGCGTTCGTTTGTGTGTCCGTGCGCGTTTTCCCTTCCCAACCCTCCGCAGGTTGCCGTCGACATAAAGTACGTATCGCATTAGCGCGTTAACGCCAATGCGTTAGCCGCTCGGCCGGCGCCGAACGGCGGCCGGGATAAACGAGGATAAAATGACGGGCGGGGGTGGCCACGAGGTGGTGGTCGGACGTGAGGAAGGGTGTGGAATTGTCACCGATTGAAAACAACGCGCGTCGCTCACGTAGGAACGGCTGAGCGAGGGGAAAGAAGAGAGGAGGCGAGGGACGCAGCGGGTCCGATAGAATTGAGGGGCGAGGGAAGGGAAGGAAGAGTGGTCGCGCACAGGGGTGCATCAGGGGGGGGGGTGCATTCTATGGGGAGCAGCGAACAGTGTCCCGCTGCGTTCGATTACAACGTCGGGCGTAATAACCGAATTGCCCACGGCCCGTTAAAGCGTTTACACCGCTTGACGGATGATCGACCACGGTGACAACTCGTTTCGGGTAATATATGAATATGGACCGTGGACGCGCGCGTTAACAGACTCCCACGATGAAAATGGCCGACGGTGCTTCTTCCGCGCGCTTCCGATTTCGCGGTGAATAAAGCGCGCGGAACGGACGCGAAGAGACATCTTCGCGACGCGCGGAAAAAAGATGAGAATTTTGCGCGCCAATATTTTTTTGTTCACCGCTGACGTTCAATGAGATATCTACAGTCACGAGAAGAAAAACGCGGAGCCCTAAATTGCTCATAAGAAAGTTGAATTAATTCGAAAAAAAAAAAAAAAACACGTGACGTTTCGAAAATTCTGAGAACTGGTCGAATTGAAATTCGATTCTTGTCGTAATTGTTGCACAAGATAAATATGTTCCAGACGAGACGTATTTCTTATTGTAAAAAGTTTTATTTATTCCTGTTTGCGCGCTGAACTACTAGATGTTGACGATGCGCTTTTGAAGCGGCATATTGCACAACGCATAGCCACAAACAAGATAATTTTTTTTATCTCAAAGATAAAAACGGGACGGAATTTAAATCGGGCCAAGCTCGCGCTCGCGCACGCGCGAGCATTAGTGCCGGGACGTTTTCATGCGATTAAAATATCAAAATCGTCACGAGTCTCTCGGCTCCGTCATTTAAGTCACCCCAATTTTGATAACGACGCCCACATATCGGATTATAACAATCACTCGTAATGACCGTGATGCTCACCCGTTAAACTGTTTATACCCGTTAACATCGGTATCGGGCGATCGATCAACGCGCGCGCGCGGCGGGTCGTCGCGTTTGTAACGAGAACGTAATTCCCATTCTCTCGCTTGCATTCAATAAAGATCATGCTAACGCGCGGTGACGAAAATGACACGTACATACGATAGAGAGAACGGGCCGAAATTGTTTTCGGATTTCGGTCGATGCCGATGTCGACTCTTTATCCGCCAGCTGACTGACGGACAACTTGGCTCGTTTTATTTCAAATCTGCCAGTACACCAGTCTTCTTTTGGGAATTTTTTTTTCCTCCCCGAGAAAAAATCTCGATTTTAATCCCGAGAGAATATAAAAACAACTATGAAGTAATTATATTCATAAATTTCTAATATAGTGACGCTGCAATGTTATAAAAATATAAACGATAGCTTTACGCCTCGTAATTGCGTGCTAAAAGATCTCGAAAAAAAAAAAAAAAAAAAAAAAATTGTCTAACTATGAAAAACCGTCTTGAGAATAAAAACTTTTTTATGACTATTTATAATTAAAAAATGTATAGGATAATATACAGAAGGTAATTTATATTAAAAAGTTCGGATCTCTTGTATGTTATATACGAAATAAACGCGGCGCGCGAGAGGATTATCCCGTAACTTAATTTATTTTGGGTTTTCTTTTTCCCGTTCTCTCTTCTTTCTAATTTAATCTCTCTGAAAAAAAGACGAGCAGTCAATTAAGGTTCGAGTAACCCGACTTGGGTGAAACCGGCCCATGTGGCCGAGTTTCTGGTCTGCTTCTCCTTCCTTTCTCTTTCTCTCTATCTCTCTCTTCTCTTCCTTCTTCTTCTTCTACTCGCGGCGAGCGAGAGCGACGTTTCGCGTGATAACCGAATCGCGCACGGATCATTAAAGCGATTAAGGCCGGCTGTTGCGGAGGCGGTGATTGCCATTTGTCGTTGCCGCGTGCAGAGAATCCGTCGCGCGCGTTTTCCCGCGCCGAGTCCCGAGGTGGATTCTAGGCGCGCGAGAGACTAAAACCCGAAGCTCTCTGCACGCGCGTGTCCGATTAATTGCCGTCATTCGATCAAGAACGGCATCGCGGCGCATTGGTAATGCGGCATTACAAATGACACTCACGAATATACCGGGCTATAAATTACGCGTCGCGCGCGTACACATACACACATGGGCGGGGACATATGTACTCTCTCGCACGCGCGCGCACGCCGTTGAAATTGATGTTTTTATTGTTGTTAGTGTTATACGACGCGATTAATGAATTATCATGCGCGTAGAGTTGCGAAATTGAAATGTCGCCTACGCGCGACTCGATCGAGGGAGTAAATCCGAGTTTTATTTATGACGCGCGACGCACGCGTGTCCGCAGCGACTTTGGACAATTTAATTCATCGATATTAAATGATTTGTTTCCAAGCTCGCGTCGCTTGAAAGTCATTAAAACACACGTTTAACGTCGCGGCTGTCTGTTTCTAACTCTCCAAAGCAAGCAACCTTCGGTACAGAATGTACCGGAAATTTGCACGACTCGACGTGATGACGCAGTGTTGATTTATGATAAGTAAAAGCGAGACACTACATCTGCGTGTATGTGTGTGTGTGTGTGTGTGTACACACACAATATATATATTAACACACGCGCGTATATTAAATACACACGAGAGCTCGGGATCAGCTGGAACTCCGTGTATTTGCTTTAAACGCTAAACTTAGCGGGGAATAATTAGGCACACACAGACTTACTATAATAATGTCAAGGTTGGTGGAGAGATGATCCGGCAGAACTCGCTTGCTCACTTCCTCTTCCGGCATGCCATCGAACCTGTCGTGCTTCTTTCGCTCTTTGTACGTCTTAGCGCGTTTCTTGGCCTCTGCGAGCTCCGCTCTAGAAAAAAAGAAAAAGACACACAGGGCGTCTTCAATAATACGCTTGGTTTCCTTTATGCTGCGTCATACGAGTCAGCGAAAAACGCGCGCGCGCGCGCGCGCTATAACTATTTCTCTCTCGCGATCGGTGCGCATGAGAGGAGACGCGGACGTTTCGCGTGCGCTTTTTGTGCCAGGCCGACAAACTCTCTCTCTCTCTCTTTCTCTATCTTGGCGCGTCTCTAGACGCCGCGTTTCGATACGTGACACTGTGACACAATGTTATGTTTTGTGTCGAGCCGGGAAGTTGTAAGCCGTTGTGAATGCGCGCGCGAATAATCCACGGATGAATGAGCCCGCGGATCTCACGAGATAAAGCGACTGCATGCCATTTATGCTTCTTATGTCTCGCGAGCAGACATAAAATAGCAAAATCTAGATAAAGTACGTAAGACGTAAAAGTAAAGCAACAGAGAGATCTGACGAAAGGGTAAAGAAACACTAAAAATTTGCGAAAAATAAGATAAAACAAAACGAGAAATTCATTTTAAGTGCGTGCGACGAATTAACGAATGTACATTTTTAATGGAAATTAAAGTTCTGTAAAAACGACATAAAAAGTGTATATAATTCCGCGGCGAACGTAGGTGACTGACTGCGTTAATTAACGCGTATTTGCAAATGCTACCGCTCTTTTCTTAAATATTACGTAACAGTCGCAGCCGGTAATTTTGTAAAGATGACCGACAAAGCTGGAGATATTTATAGGTGTATCAGCATAATGAACTTTTGTTTAATTACCGCGTGGCGCTTAATTAAATGGGTCCGCTGATATACAACGCGTGTCAAGAGAGGGAGAGACGGAGATAATTTTACTTTTCAAACGTTCAATTAACGTCCTAATGAGCGCTTTATCTCGTGACGTATCTCCGCAATAGCGGACGCGTGAATCCGATCGCGTTAACGTTCTTAATATGAACAAAAACTATTTTCAAGTTTTCGGGCCGGCTTCGCAAAAATAAAGCGTAACCGAAGATTCTATCAGAGCAAGAGAGGATGGTGCCCGGTCAGACGGACATTGTTAGCAGAGCGGATATTTTTAACCATAGCTGCATGCAAATATATAACTAACTCCGTTTATATCGAGTCGCGGCTCCGTAGCCGGCCCGTGATCTTTTTCAGCTTCGTTTCTCGTCGAAATCGTTAACGTATTTATTAATATAACAATATAACACGATCTCTCGTGCAAACAAGAATCGTTTCATATTCGCAGCTTTATCCAAATATACGTCGTTGTCAAAATCAGAGAATTAATTTTGACGAAATGAAAAATAATGTAAACTCTTCATTCATGTCAATTTCTTGCGCGCATATCTCGCCGAATTTCGAAATTGTTTGAAATAACGTTTAAAAGTGGTCAACAAATTCCTTGTCAGTGTACATCTTCGTATTTTTAAAGCTCGCGAAAATGCAAATTTTTGTACAAAAAAAAAAAANNNAAAAAAAAAAAAACGAAAAAACCAAATTAGAGATACAGCTGTCAACGACTCCATAAACGTTTGAAATATATGCGTCTCTTACTCCTCGGGGGTGAGTATCATCTCCGACTTTTTTTTGCGGCCGCGTTTCTTGGGCTGATGCGCCAGCTGGGGATTCACGCCGGCGGCGTCGTTCATCACAAGATTCATCTGATGATGCTGCGGCCCGGGCAGCGCCCCGGGCGGCGTCGACGTGGGTGTACCAAGCCCAGGTTGGGCACCGCCCGGACACGTCATGTTCTCGGGATTGCCACCGTTGCCGCTGCCGCTGCCTGGACTGCTCGCTGTCCTCATGCCGCCCATCGACATGTCCTCGTCCACGAACGAGTACGGGTCCACCGGCGTCTCGCATTTTATCGCGACCTGGAAAAGAAAAAAACAAAAAATAGAACCGGACGTTTGGCGAATAGATATGTGGTTATCTCATCTTTGGCGCCGTCACGACTATCGAAGCAATACAACAGACTTCTGAAACTCTCGTATCTTGAAATGGGAGCCGCGCGTGGGAAGTGCTCGTTCCGGAATCAGGGACACACGAATCGTAGAGGAAAACTGAAGAAGCTATTGTGGATCACACACAAACGCTTTTTGACTCGTCATCACTTCCCGGCTCGATGAGACGAATTCGCGAGACCGGAAGATCGCGCGCCAAGCGTATTTACACGAGAAACTTTGTGAATATTTTACGATAAAAACTTTTCGCATTGTTTCTTTTTATCGTAATATTGGACGCGTATTACCAATCAAATTTCTCGCGTATTCTTTTCTAAATAAAATATAAGCGTGTGTGTGTGTGTGTGCACGTAGAAAGATGTCGGCGCGCCACATATGCGCCACGTGATATCTTGAATCGTGATGACGACTGAGATGTGCGTTTTTCCCGGCCTAATTTAATTTCCCCTCGAAAATTGCAGCGCGGCGGAGAAATTTTTTCGTCGCGCGGCGGCCGATTCCGCGGAAGAATGAAATTTCTCCGCGGCACGTACAATCCCGACGTAAAACATGTACCGACGATCGCGGACACGTACGGTAGCGATCATAAAACGTATGTATTCCAGCTGGAGTATTCCGTATGTGCATGTGGCGCGCGCCCGTGTGTGCGCGGATGTATATGTTTCAACGCCTTGGGGGAAATAGTAATAGCGCGATTGCCGTGCGGACCAAAAATACGCGGGCACGTATCAGCCATTCGCGGTTGTAAAATACGCAGCTGTGTCTCTTTTTGCAAATTGTGACGGTGACACAATCGCCGTTTCTCTCTCCATTTCGCCATATTTCGCATCGTTCGTTTCTTGAGACGAAGTCGAATCGCGGGAAGTGTGATAATATTGAAAATATATTTGATAACGCGGAGAACCGAACACACGGAGAGTCAGAGAATTATAAATGTTGATTCAAGTAATCCAGTCGTTATTGATGCGAGTGTGACAAGCTCGGGAATTGAATATCTATATATCGAACAATGCGATAATATGTTGTCATATTTCTGATATAATATCAGAAAAAGAGGGAAATAAAATTATTCGAAAACTTCTTGCGACAATCGGCATTCTGTCGTGACGATATTAACGAGGTGGCGTTAGATGATTAAACGCGACAGGTATCTGAGTGACGTTTGCTCGATTCTTTCTCCGCCGTTATCTCTCGCGCGAAAAATTCGATATCGCGAATACTAAAATAAATGCGCGAAGCGTTATTCGTGAGCATTCGATGAAATAACAAATTATTCAATTGGCCGTTATTGTACGCTGAAGGCTGTCAATAACGGCGATAATTCGACGGATCTAACTGGTACTGCCGACGTATATCCGGCGCTCTTAATTTTAAAACGACCTCGCCATCCGTTTGCTTGTTTTCTGCGCGACGCGAAAAATTTGCTGTGTATATCTCAATTGTTGATTTCCCCGCGCTTGCATTTACAACGATTAGCGAGAAGACCAGAGATTTCGTCGCAATGACGGATTGAATATACACACGCGCGTTCCTGTTGTTTTCTTTTTTTTTTTTTCTTTCCGGCACCTCGTAAAAATGGAGGAATGCGAGATAACTCGGGAGAGTAGTTTTTATCGCGACATAAACATTCCCTCCGTTTGCAATCTTCGACCCCGGTCCTTCCCTCCCCTCTTCCCCCCAGTTAGAGGCCGTCTCCAATGCGCTTAACGCAACCGCGCTCTTGACCCCCCCGTGATAACCCCCGTGAAATCGAGGTCGAAATCCCGCCAAGATAAGGACCGCGCCGACTGGTAGTTACCGATAACGCGTTACACCCTATGCCCGATCGTCCTTTTTCACAGAAGGAGAGGGAGAGAGAGAAAGAGAGACGTTTCTCCCCGCTCGAAGGTCGCCGACAATATTGCGCGCGCGATAAGAACGAACGAATGTATACGCGCGAGAGTGGCGTATTGTTATTATTTACAACAGAGGAAGACAACAGCGAGAGTCGCTTGCGACGCGCAATGATCGCAGCACGCGCGAAACAAATGTTTTATCCGAGAGAGATATTAGAGTATGATATTTATATTGCAAAAAAGTAAATATGAAACATTTTTATTGCGAGCCGGCGGTTGCGCGAAAGAATTACACGGAAAGAAGTTTCATTGCGGTAATAGAGGATGCTCGTGTGTTTGCCGCTTTTCCGTTGCGGTATACGGATAGAGAAATAATAATTGGTTTATATTTTGAAATATAAAACAGAAATTAATAAACATCGCACAAACATCGTTATATAGCGATATATATAAAAAAAAAAAAATAAAAAAAAAAAAAAAAACGACGATGTGATAAATTCCTCGCGTGTGTGTGCGCGTGCTCGACAACTGGGGGAATCTAATCTTTTGAAGTATTTCGGTTGTGTTGAATTTTTCCGCGTGAAACTGAATATAAATTTAAGATTCCGTAAAAGTAACGCAATTTTCGCATATCTCTTCTTCCCGGTATCTCGTCCCTTCAATTATCTCCGTGGAAAGAGTCGTCGGGTAACGGTCGGCTCGTTTACGCGAAAAACAATCGGACGTCGGGATCTAAAAAAGGGTTAAGTAAAATAACGCGAAGCGTCAGGGATCCAGAAGAGAGAGAGAGACAGAGAGAGAGAGAGAGAGAGAAAGAGGAGAGGGAGAGAGAGGGAGAGAGACGCGATAATGTAGACGATACGGAGAGAAGGAAGGAAGAGGGAAGGATGATGCGGGAGCACCGATAAATCCGGGACGTGTTCACGGTTAACAATTCGATCAACGGAAATTCGCTACGCTCGTCGGCCGTTCATTCGTTAAAATGAGAAGCCGGGGCAAAATCGAGATCGACCGGGTCTCGTCCGCGTCACGAGATAATTTTCGAGAAAAAGACTATCGATTCTGACAGCGGATAACAACTTTGCGGATAATGGCAATTTAATATCGGATGAAATTTCTGTAATTCGTACGCGCGATAGAGCCGATAGCCAGATTGCGGAGAGGAGGGTAAGGGAGGAGAGAGGATGCAACTGTGCTGCAACTGTGCTATTAATTCATGAGCGGAAAATGCGCGTTCTGATTGAAGTCGCTGAAAATTACCGACGTCAAAATATTCATCCCAGTCGTCGCGCTCCACAAGCGCAAAAGCTTTTATTTCGCCGGTTTTGTGTAAAAGTGAAAAAGCCAAAACGCCGTTTGAAAGATGCAATAGCTTTCTCTTCCCTTTATATCCCTTTCGTTAAACGCGGGGGCCCCACCGCGTTCTTCACACAGAAAAATATCGCGATTATTACTACTATATTCTCCGTCTTTCTCTGCCCTATCTCTCCTCTCTCTCTCTCTAGTTTTCGCCGACCAATATATAAATTAATTTATATATATTCTCCAGCTCGCAATTGTTATAAATTCGGTTATTAATTTAAAATTAATTTAAACGGAAAATCATTTTTCATCGAATAAAACATAATGTTAAAATATTACATAGCTGATTTTATCCGTTTCCAGAGCGGAAGTTTTTCATTTGCGCATACGTTACACTTTGGAGAACTGAAATTTTTCAATTATATACAAAGACAAAATATATTATACTATAGAAAACACAAATGAACTGTTTATAGAACGCTTAGAAATGTTTCGCTCGTTTGATATAAAACGAAAAATAACCGACTCTCCGTGCGGCAGCTCATCCGCGCGCGTGGCTTTCTCATTGTGTGCCGCGCGAGAGAAGTAATGTTGCGTAAGTAGAATCATAAAACTAACATGAAAACGCAAATCGCGGTTGCGCGCTAGCTCGCTCGACTGTTGCGAAAACCTCCTCGCCGGAGTGATGACGATTGCGCGGCGTCTTTATTGCAATTTATTGCTCGTAATTTTGATTGCGAGGTGCTAGATACGCCGATACGGCGCGATTCTAATGAGAGCCGCCTGCGCTTTTTACTGGCCAATAATTTTGGCGTTTTACGCGCGACTTCTCTCTTTTTTCTTCTTCTTCTTCTTCTTCTTCTTCTTCTTCTTCTTCTTCTTCTTCTTCTTCTTCCCTCGACACGTGATAATAACCCCGTAGTGTTTTCAACGCCGATTATACTACGAGATCGCGATACTCGGTCGACTCCGACCGCTGTTCCCCCATCCGTTCGCCGGTGTAGTTGCAATGACGATTGGTATCCATCGAGCTCTTGAGCTTTCCTTGTAAAATCGCGATTTGTTCACAATTTTCAATTGCGCGTTTTTTTTTTTTTTTTTTTTTTTTTTATCACAGCGGAACTTCGAGATAATAATCGTATCGCGTGAGCAGTAAATTTCGCGTTCGCGGTACGTTACACGAACGACAATTTATCATAAAAAGCCGTGCTCAATCTTTCATCCGAGCTTCTTACACACCGAGTTTGTCGTTCGCTTAAATCCACCCAAAAAGTAAATAGATCGATGTTGAATATACATGCGGTAGGTAATTTGACATCGTCATACCATCGTCAGACGTCCCAAATTAGATGGAACGCCGCGTCCGCTCCTAAATTCTCTGACGTAAGGTCGATCGAGAATACGCCACGCAGCCATTACACGCAACCTCGCGGTATAATTGCAGCAATCACACGCATGTATCATCAACGATTCTGCGTGCGCCGCAATATTCACCAACGATGTTCAACCGTGACGTGCGTGCGTGCGTGCGTGCGTGCGTGCGTGTGTGCGCGCGCGCTCTGTACGCCTCAAACGCCTCAATCATATTCCCCACCGGAACGTTGTAACCCGACGAAATAAAGACGTATCACTTTGATACGTGTCAACGCGCGTATATACAAAGATATCGAATAATAAACTCGCCGGTCGCTCCGCGGCGGCCGTCGCTCGGATACATAAATAACTCGATGGAGAAACCGGATACGGAAAACGAGAACGACGACGGCGGGGGGTTGGGTCAGAGGCTGGGAGTAAGCGAATGTATGAAAAACTCACCTGTCCGAGGGCGGAGGCGGTCGAGCCCGGCTGCTGGGGTTGATGCGCTGTCGCCGATATCGGGGTGAGGGGCGTGTGCGGCGTGTGCGGTGTGTGCGGCGTGTGTGGTGTCAGCGGCGTGTGATACTGCTGACTGCTGTCACCGCCGGTGCTCCTCATCTCGAGGTCCGGACTCGTCTCGTAACCGTCGTCCCTCGCCTCCTGCTTCACCAACACCCCTGCGCACAGAGACAAGGACAGGGCGACGCCCTTTTAGATTTTCGGCGTGCTTATCTCTAGCTCGATTATTATTATTTTACATATACGCGTCGCACGCGATAAGATGCTCTTCTCCGCTCGTAAAAAAAAAAAAAAAAAAACAAAAAAAAACAAAAACAAACTGAAAAATTCCCGCGCGACGGATGAGCAGCGTGTCGTGTCATCGTTGCGGGAATTAACTCTTTGTATCTACGCGATAATAATTTTCCGTCCCTCGTAAACATTTTTTGTTCCACCGTGAAAGCGGAAAAAAAATCGAGGTGCTAAAATGCGAAATTTGGTCGGCGAGGTGTTGCCGGTGTTTATCATTAATAATGCGCGCGAAGAAAAACACAGACCCCGTATTATTTCTGTAATGTATATATATTTATACATATGTACATACGTGATAAATCGAAGAACGAGAGTTCTTTCGGTCGCGCGATTTTAGCATCCGAGCGAAACACAACAAATGTCAGACTCGCTTCAGACACGAGTCGTTAATCATTCTCCGGAGTTTCTTCTGTTTTCCCGTTGTTGCACGCGCACGCTAACTAGCACGAATTATCGCGCTATTAATTCGCACAGGAACTCGTCTGCTGTCGCGCTTCTCGTCTCTTGTATATATTGCGAAATATTTCCTCGGCTTAAGAGAGAAAGAGAGAGAATGTGTGTGTGTGTGTGTGTGTGTGTGTGTGTGTGTGTGTGTGTGACTCATTGAGAGAGCGTCTAAATTCTAATCCCAAACGAGAGAGAGAGAGAGAGAGATAGATAGAAAGAGACAGCTACAGGTAAACGCGCGCCGCCAAACACCAGTTGAATTTTCATCCATTCGAGACACAGAGTTGCGCCGAGACGATTTGCCGGAATCAAACTGTGGCCCTCCCACGCGCAAAACTTTCGGATATTTGTTCGCCAACTTTTTCGAAGTGATCGAATTTATCTTTTCTACGGCTTTTCAAATCAGAAGGAAGCTCGGCAAGTTGTGCGCCCGAGTTTCTTCTCTTCCGCGAGATTTTCCACTATCGCGAGACGAAATTTACCGCTACACACCACGTCGATAAAAAAATAATTCCCGGGAAAGAGATTGCGAGCGAAAGTAACTTCTCCTTTTACATTTCAGCTCTCAAGTTCTAAAAGCGTCTTAAACGATTCATTGGTTGAAAAGTTTCACTTCGCCGTGTAACTCGCGATTCAAGCCGCGTGTTAACAAGAACTTTCTTATCGATGCAAGGGAGATGGATGTGCGGCTATAGGTTTATTATAAACACAGAAAAAGATAAAACTCTTTACACGGGAATAATACGGCGCGTTAAAACGGAAAATAGGGTAACGCGAAATATTGTCAAACGAATAGAGCAAACTCACCGAGCGCGGTCGTAAAGCTTCAAGGTGGCTATCGATAATTTGATGGGGGAATAAATAAATACGGAGAGGCATTTAAGTGATTTAAGAGATTATTGTATAATCTCTCGGACCCGGAGAGCAATCTTTCACCCGTTTAGTATCACTCCCCCTCCCCTCGCGCAACTTTTATTGCCGGCGGTATCGCCGATGGTAATTTAATAGCTGAGGAGTACCGAGAGAGAAACGAGAGTTAATCGCTCGTCAGAAGATTTACCGGTTAGCCGTTGAAAGCGTCGTCTCTCCGTTCCCCCGGCAAATACATTAAAAGCCCACGTGCCGCACTGCCGCTCCCTCTCCCCCCGCCCGCAAGCGCGCGCTCTGTGTGTGTGTGTGTGTGTGTGTGTGTGTCCGGCGATGCGTGTAGAATTGTTCAATTGACCCAGAGAAAAATATTCCGCGGATTGATGACTGACAGCCCTCGGTGAGACAACGCGTTTGTAATTGGCCCTCCGGTTTTCCCCGATCCCCCGCGCGCGTATATTTCGGCGATTGTCGCGCGCCCGTCGCCGCGCGCGTGTTTTTCGCCGGTTCCGCGCTCGGAAAAATATTTTTTTACAATTTCGCGCCAATTGCCGGCGCGATATCGGACCGGCTTCGTTTGTAATGTAATACAAACGTCGCATGATCGCGCTTGTCCGCGTTTCAAGCGAGATCGGTAGATCTTCTTCGCGCGAATATATGTATATACGTATAAGTTAACGAAATTACACGTACGGCGATTGTGTTTTACATTACGGGGGGAGAGGAAAGTGAGAGTTCTTTGCGACGAAAATTTCAACAATGTAAACCGTACAAGAATAACATCTATTCTAAACTTGAGCGAATATACACACAGAGCGGAATAAAAAACAACAGAATAAATCCGATACTCAAAGCACGTGCTCGTGATCAAACGATTCTTCATGTTCGACAGCTAAAAATCTATTCCTCCATACACGTGGCTCAAAGAAAGCCCCGGGATTTTCCGGGGATATGTATCGTGTGTGCGCGGCAAAACACACTCCACAAAAGGATCGTGATGTAGAAAGGCGCGCAGCGGTGTGCCTGCGAGAGTCCCATTATAATGAAAATTAATTTCGTAATAAGCTCGCGTTGAAATGAAGCTTTTTCATCGATTGCGCGTTCCGCGCAATTTCCGAGCGCGCGCTCTCGCTCGCGGATCCTTTTTTGTCGTGAAATTCCATGCGAATCTGTTTAATGGTTCGCTCTTGCAATCGCGAATAAACGCGGGGGACGAGCTTTTTGCAGCGTGGCACGCATATACGCACGTATACACACGTATCCACAAAACGTACGAGTTGCAAGCGCGACCGCACGCTCGCTCGCTCGCTCGTTCTATCTCTCTTTTTCTCTTTCTCTTTCTGTCTCTCTCTCTCTCTTCCTCCCTTTCTCGCTCTACGTTTGTCACGTACACACATACACGGCATGCGAAAAATATAAAATTAATATTGTATCGCGGCTTCGTCTCTTCGGTTCCCTTTTGCCACGATAATCACGCGATATTGAATCGTCATGAGGCGAATAATTTTTTCCCCGTGTGCACGCCGAGAGATCGCGTTGGTCGACGATCGCCGATACGGCTAAAATACCAGAGTCAATATTTTCAAACATTCGCGGACGTTTGATATTTGCAAATTATATACGTACGTGGAACTGCGCTTAACCGTTTTAGTGCCAGGGGTTTTTAAAAATCCGTGTCGGATTGTGCCATGAAGCGCGATAGCGCTTCCTTCATTTATCTGCGAGTAATGCCGATCGACGCGGTCGCGCTGCTCCTTTTTTTCGTCNTACGAGAGGGAAGTCTGACAGACTCGCGACAAGGTACACTCCAAACCGAGAGCGTTGCTAACTGCCGATCGCGATCGAACATCGCGATACAGTTTCTTACAGCACGCGAACAGCGCGATCGCGCTGCGTGGCACTAAAACGGTTAAGCGAGTGAGAGAGCGATGACGCGGGGCCCGTGCGCGCGCTCTCGCGCGAGTTTATAAAAGAGAGTTCAGCCAATAAATTTAATGCAACGCTAATTTAATCGGAAGAAAATTTCGCTGGGAAATTTTTTCGGACCCCGCTAATTAATGAGCACCGGTATGCCACATTTTTCTCCTCTCCTTCTCTCTCTCTCTCTCCCTTCCTCCCTCGCTCTCGTGCAGATTCGCTTTTATTGCGAGAATCGCGGAAGCGACTTTATAACAACGAGCGAAGCGGTCGCAGTAATTAAAAATGCAGCGTGCGAACGTTGCGTTGTGAATTAGCGTAATTGTTTTCGAATTCGTTCTTTTTTTTTTCTTTTCTTTTTTTTTTTTTTTTGCGTACGTGTCGAAATCGCGTGATGACATTCGCCGACGTGGATCCTGTCCTCACCTTGAGAATTCGCGCAGCTCATCGTCGTCGCGCCATTTGGTCCTCCGTTCTGCACCGGTGACGGATACGACCTGAAACAGAAGCGAAACTGAAACTTAACAGATTGTCAATGTTAACAGTTTTATTGGAATATCGTTATTTTTTTTTTTTTTTTTATGAGAGAAACACAATATTGGCGCAATTATTGTACTTACAACAATAATTGAAGTCGTGAAACAAAATATGCATATACTCACGAAATATATAATATATATCGCCATCGGGATATACTAATTATTGAACTACTTCTTTAAATTTTTCAGGGACGGATGTTTTGGAACTTCATCGCGGAACCGAGCAGCAGCAACAGGTAATACAGTGTTCCGATTGTATATTTAATAACAACGTATCTCTTAAGATCTTAACGATTTTAATCGAATATGTATGTGTTACGCCGCGCCGGTGAAATCGGCACACACAGGGCACGATAACAGGATTATTGTTTAATTCCCGCGTGTACCTATTTAATCAATCTTACTAGTATTTGTGTGCGGCGGCGGCGGCGGCGTAATGCACACATGTAATTTCGTAAATTTAACTCCACGTTAAAACGACCAATCAATAACCTAGAAGCTAATTACATATTATTTCAATATCCTTTTGTGTCAGCGCGTTTTTCCACTATAATTCAACATTTTATCGAATTTTCCTTTGATATCAAAAATATCGAATATTACATTTGACAAACCCGTTACGAAAGCGGTACTTAATTGAATTAATTTTCAAATTAGCTGTAATGTTCTTTTAGTTATCTCCTCTCCCCTGTCACACATTTAAACGTACGGGGGGAAGGAAGGAAAGAGAGTGAGTGCTGGTTTTTCTCTAATTAAAATTTCCGTAATGTGATTGTTCAGTATCAAGGGAGTTTCTTGTGTATGTGTTTCCTATTTACGAGAGACAAGAGAAAGAGAGAGAGAGAGAGATAGCCGCGTGCTCCGGAATTGTTGATTTAAATCTCCTCTACTTTGCGATCCTTGTTTATACTGGCTGGTGCACGTCGCGAAATATCTCGAATTACGTCAAATTAGTTTTTGTAGTATATTAATTTTCGGTTTACGATTATATCGCGCAAATATTTTTCCGCTGCCATGTTTCCTGCCCGCTGTACAAACCCAAAGTTCGTAGACAAGACAAGTGAATGTGAAGACTCCCCCGCAAGTTTTATAAGTTTTAGTTTCATGTGACGTAACATGGCGTCCTCAACTTCGTTGCGCGCGCGCGCTCCGAGAGGAGTTTTTCCTTTCCTTTCATTTCATTAAAACTTCGCGAGAAAGAGAAGCGCCGCGCAACTTGTTTAAAACGCGTCATCCCGACCGACGATTATCGACGAGTAATTATTATTGTATGTGTGTTTGTTTTAAAAACAAAAAGTTGTGGCGGAAAATGAGACAAGAAACAAACTTCTAATTTACGTCCGTTTGCGGACACGACGCGAAGTATATCGATCTCGATCGCGTTACGAGCGTGTGATAAAAAAGACACGTGGTAACAATTCAAACACACGGCGCGCTCTGTGTCACACAATGCACATACTTCTTTACATATGTGGGTGTGTGGGTGTGTGTGTGTGAAATGTTATTAAAAAGTAAATTGTGCAATTCTCTCGGGGAAAAAGAAGATAGATACAATATGCGGATTTAACTGTTGACGCTGATAAAGCCAAAGTGCAGATGGGCAAATTTGCGTTTATCACGGTAAAACGTCGATTTTTTCTTTTTTTTTCAAAATTTATCTCCCCGACGTACACGAGAACTAGTCAATTAGGGATTATTCCACATAATAGGAAGGGGAAAGAGAATGGAGAGAGAGTAAAAAAGAAACGTCGATTTGTACCGGAAGGAGTGAGAGGAGGTCGCGTTCCATCTCGAACGCGCGCGCCATTTAATTGATTGTGCCCGGCCGCAGACGAGCGCGCGGCAATTATGATCGCGTTGTCTCTCTCTTTCTCTATCTATCTATCTATCTATCTCTGTTTCGCCGTTTCCCCTCTGTCTTCCGACTAATTATGAGCCACGTCGTTGTTCGCTACGCGATTCGAAATCGTTCCGCGCGGATTACAGATATTAACCGGGTCGCGATATTAGAGGTCGCGGGAATGACACTTAATTATCGCGCGCACGGCACACACGCGAACGTCACACACGCGTTGCACATCGCGCGGAGGACGCAATAAAGCATCGATACTTTGACCGTTAGGTCGCCGAGAGAAACGCCGTTGAACTTTAACTGATATTAACCTTTTCCTATCTTTTGTGAAATTGCCCGACCGCCAAGATGTGCGCGCGCGATTGCGCACGGCCGCATTTATTACTACTTTTTCACGTGGTTCAGCGTAAAACTCGTCGAGAGACACGATCGCACAGTTGATGCGTGTTGATTGATGGTTTCTTGAGATTTCCTTCGCGAGAAGAGTTCGAAGAGTCTCCAATATCCGTACAACATGCGTGAACGTGCGGTTTTACTGACGCGAAAGGATTGACGAGAAAACAGTCAAGTGTGTGTGTATTATGCAAAGTATCTTCTTTACACCTAGGAAAGGACGCGACGGAGGAGTGTAAAATGGGTGTAGTTTTTTCCTCAAACGTCAAAGATGCAAAAGCACCGTGAATAGTTTAACGACGACAATTACACTTCGAGGAGAACACGATTCGGAAACAAAAAGAAATCAATAACATCGCGTTCGACAAACGCCGTTGCGAAGAGCGGCAATTATATGCGCGCGAGATATAATTATAGTTCTGAAGTAACTAATCACTTTGTTTTCCGTACCGCGAGATAAGAATATGTATATCTCGTTATGATCTGCGCGATGTTTCCGCGATGAAACGGGAATAAGAGAAGTTTATAATTTCAATTATTACCACATTTGCGCGCAACGCCGAATACCGATTGGAAGATGCGCAATGCGGAAATTCAGGGAATTACCGATTCTAGTTAGACGCGGCTATCCATTAAACGCGCGCAAAATTTTTCCCGATCAAAAATCGATGGCGATCCAGAAGTGAGGTAAAATCGCGAGAGAGGAAAATCTACGAGAGAGGAACAAAAAACCGTCGAGTGTCCAATATCGCGCGTTTCCCGTTCCCGATCTTGTGACGCAAACTCCATTCCAACCGGAATCGGCCAATTAGTCTTTGACGTTATTGAGCTCCGTGTGTAAAATACAGCCATGTCAGGAGGATTATCTAATGAGGCGAGAGATTATCCTCTTGAGAAGATACAATTAGCGGTGGTAATTTGTCTTCGAATATAATCGAACGCGATCGGGCTTTTGCGTGTGCGCGTGACGTGTGACGTTGAGTTTCACTCTTTCACAAATATCGCAATATTATTCGAAATGCGTTCGCTTTTCTCGAAAATTAACGGAATCTATTCTAAAAAAAAAAAAAAAAAAAATCTCTAATTTCGTCCGAATTTTCCTCGTCCCGCTTTGCAATTGAAGTCGAGAGGAGGGATATATTGTAACAGCACGACGAAACAACATCGAATCTCTCCTCGTATTTAATGTAGATACGTACGTGGTTGCATGAATATTATGTCAAGCAACAGAGTGGATCTGATTACGCGTATGTGTGTATATATAGAATATATATATTTGCATGTACAGAAATATACGTATATATACATTATGGCTAAACGAGGTAAATAATTTCCGTTACACTCTTGCGATTGCGAGAGGGAAAGAGTGGAGGGAGAGATATAATAGTGCGGTACATATATACACATATATATGTATATGGATATAATAGTAATACGTTTCGCGCGCGCAGTCATCGGATTGGTTTACTTCATGGATGGAGTCTAAAAGCTCTGTCACCCGACACTGGCGAAAGTCATTCGATGAACCTTCCCTTCATTGACGTCGATGTCGACGGTGTAAGCAACAAGCAGTAGCAAGCGGGACGTATAGATGACGGTTTGCACCATCTCTCGTTGTGAGAGCGCTGCAGATTGCTGTTGTCGTTTTCGGATTGATGCGATACGTCGCGCGCGGCGGATACGAGGGGAATTCAAAACGACGACGCAAATATTTTGCGCGAGACTAAACGTAAATATTGTGGCACGCGTGGCGGCGATATTTAATATCGCCGCTCGTTCGTTCGTTCGTTCGTTCGTGCGCGCGCGCGCTTGCTCGCGCGCTCTCGCGACTCTTTTCCATTATTTTCCGGCTATATATTAAAATCCCGGATGCGCATTTTCGAAATCGCGGACAAAAACAGGGGCGCGTGATCGCCGCGCACGCCGCCGGCTATACATAGTGTGTGTATATACAATATATACACATATACATACACACACACACACACACACATATATATGTATATATATTGTGTTGTGTGAGAGCCATTTTAATTTCATACCTGCGCATTCAATATCATTTTAGCGCCGCGAGCCGCCCAAACCGGGGCTAATAGGCGAAAAAATGTTTTTGTTGTCGACGCATTAATACGAGAGCGCATGACGTGATATCGCTCTTGTGTGCCGTGATATCAGTTTTAAACGCTATCGCTCGACAACGTTTGTTTTTCTAAATAGTTTTTTTTTTTTTTTTTTTTTTTTCTAAATAGTTTTACACCCTCTCTCGCCCTCTATGTCTATCTACTTAGATATTTATTTTCAATACAATTGTGCATTTTGCATTTTATTTCCGATCTAAACGTTGACGTTTCGAAATTATTTCTCGGCCCTTTCGATAATCTGATATTGATTTTGAAGATGCCGCAAAGTTTTATCGCTTAGTGGTTCTCTCGCGCACGCACGCACACATACACAATTGTCAAAAACTTTTGATCAACAACATAATCTAGACAATATATATATCTGCTGGAACATCTACAACTTTGCAAATATAACCGGAAAATTTCTGCAAAATTATGTTGTGTGCATAACATTAAATCTTTTCCGATTGTTGACGATGCGTGAAAAAAAAAAAAAAAAAAAACAAGTTTGTTACAACAAAGAATTTATTGCATAATCATGATTTTAGCTTGCATATATGTATAACCGGGCAATAATAAAATTTCCTCGTATG